AATGCAATGCAATTGTGAATACACTGTAGTGCCTTTTTTCGTGCTGTGTTCTACATGGACTTAGGGATTGTCATTTCTGTCTGGTCATATTTATTTTACCCTGAGACTTAAATAAAATGTGTTTGTTGAAATGTCTCCTCCTCGTTAACTGACTTTTTTTCAGATCACTAAACCTTTTGTCATGTCATATCTGTCATGCTCAAATCAACAGTGCTGACCATTGTGGTCGTTGACTGACATGTCTTCATTTTGTTCTTGGTTTGGATATTCCCTTCTTTATTACTCGACAGGCTTGCGCTTTTCCTTCGTTTCTTGAGAATACAATAATGTATGAATGGAAGCATTGAGGCCAAGAGAAGAAAACATCCTGAAGCATAGAAGACTGGGTTGTATGAATGACTGTAGTCAGCGATGAATCCTGTCGACAGAAAAATAAAAAAATAAATTGACGGACATCGACTTCGTCAGAAAAAAGAGATCATAATCTTTATCTAGCTCTTGGCATCCAACAAGGTGTTCACCTTACCTGCAATTGGAGGACCAAGGAACATTGGGATTGACGCAAAAAACATCAGCCAAGCAAGACCTTGTCGTGGGTCTATTGACATCGATAAACAATATGCMGATGTAAAATACATAGCTTCACATATTCCTTGCATAACAGCATAKCCATAAAGATAACCRATATTTGACGCCAATGGCATCAGGAATTGCGTTATTGCCATAAGAACCGATCCACATTGAAACATGGTGTAAAACGAGACAYGACCAGTRTCACCAACTTTTCCAGTGAGTATTCTACATACAGTCGATATCATACCAGTGACGGGATATATCCACGAAGACGCGTGCCTTGATATTCCTATATCTTCAGCGTATTTTATCTGTATATCAAAATAGAAAGTTTTATCAACAAAACATTATGAATATCACAGACAATATTTAGAGCAATCTCCTGCTGCAATCCAATAATTCACAAGTGAGAATGATATAAAAATATATATAGCTCATTAGATGSTGAATAAACTTCTAACGTAAAAGGAAAAGTTTGAGGAGACGTTTGATTATTCAGATAAAATATTTACAGACAAGATGTGCGCCGAATCACTCAGTCCTCGTCATTCAGTTGGTTAAGCCTGCCTCGCCCTGTTAAGAAGATTTCTACACGAGCACTGTTCAGTCACATCCTTACTGCAGTGA